AACAATAAAAGGTGAATCAAATGGACCATTACGGCAAGGCTGGGATGGTCAATTTGGTAAAGTAAATCCGTTGGGCATCTTTCTTTGCCTTTAGACAACAATTCTGATGGCAAAAGAGCCAAACGGGACAGGCAAAAAAAAGGAAAAAAAAAAATAGCCACAAACACAAGGTATTAGTCTACTCATGTCTCTCAACTCAGCTTAATGATTTTTAATAGTGAAACTCCAAAAACTCACTTAAAAACTTTTACAATATCCTTTATGCTAAATTACTGTTGAAAGTTGCAAGCTTTTAACTGACCTCTAAATATCAGCTCTAGAGAAAAGCATTTACTTTATTAGGTGGTAATTAAGTAAAATCAGAAACTACACAGCTGATAATGTCAAGTCATGTCCTGTGAAGCCTCAATTTTCCTTTAGGGTGTCCATTGTATACATTAAAATCAGTACATTTTTTATCTATTTCACACAATACCACATGCATGGCAGTCATACAACTCAAATATTTCAAAACATACAGATGTTATGTTTAATATCCTGTAAATGAACCTCCTCTGGTGTGGTCTGTTGTAAATATTTCCTCACCTCTCGGCATGCCTTGAGCTCTTCAAATTCCCTGGTGGTCCAGTGTCTATCCTTGAAGAAATTTGTTGTGTTTCTTTTGTAAAACAAGTCCCAGTTTTTCTGCGCTTCTTTCTCCAGCTTCATCTGTTTGAAGTCAGACACCAGAGCCCGCTCACCGTTCAGTCTTTCCTGCTCCCCCAGAGTTAAAACCCTGGCAGTGGGGGTGTTCGCTTGGTCTTTCGACTCCTCTTCTTTTCCAGGATGTGTACAGTTAATATCACCACTCAAAACCCCACTTTCTGACAATGCCATGATAAACTGCCACAAAGTGTCTCCACGTTCTGTTTATACTCGTTTATGAAAAATAGGCTTTTCAAACATGCTAACCCCAATTAACTGATTTAGAGTTTTATTTTAAAACAAATTTGAGGGTAGCCGTACTTTTTCCACATTTAATGCATCCATGTTGTCCGTTAACTAAATGATGTCGTGTGGTCTTTACTACTTAATTCCGTTTCTCATCGAGTGGCGCGTTTTCTATAATTACTCGTTACTGACTAAATTAAAGCATTGAAAACATTTTCATAGGTTATTATGTAGTGAAATGCGTTGTTTGGTTTTTTTTGAAAAATCTTTTGCTTTAATGAAAACAGGTGACGTTGCTAACACAGCCCACTTTCGGCGATATTTGAGAGCCGGACCAAAAGCGGAAAGGGCGTGGCCACGTGATGTTTTGCTAACTGTTAGCCACAGCAAGCTAACTTTGTGTTGTAGTTGGCATCTTATTTTGATCCTGCTCAACTTGCCAGATTGCTCTCGGGTCTTCGTGGGATTTGACCTAAATGCGAGTTTTAGTAACCATTAAACCAACGGAGCCATGAACGGGAGCACGAATCCGCTGCTGGACAAAGAGGAGCATGTTTTGAAGCTCGGAGAAAGCTTTGAGAAGAGGCCAAAGTCTTCCTTTCACACCATCAGATGTAAGTGTTACAGACTGCGCGATGTGTTAAATAAAACTTTGGCACCATACAAAGCGCACTGTTAGATTACTGTTGTGTCAGACTCTCTTTCTCACATGGACGGAGAGGCTGTGTTTTACACAGTCTGTGTATGGGTAATTATATGGAGAAAACAATATAAGTAAGTATTTGTTGCAAATGGTGTGGCAGCATTATACACTGAATTTTATCGTTTTACTCCCCATTCTCAGGTTTTAAATCTGGGTTCGTCGGCTCATAATTTTTCAATATTTGTTTAAGAGACTTAATAAAATGTCCATGTATTTGGAATTACCTACATACAATGTCTCCTAAAGCACCTGGTTAAATTATCTGTTGCATCTCCTTTTCAGATGACTTCAAACCAGCATCGATTGACACAAGCTGTGAGGGAGAGCTTCAAGTTGGGAAAGGAGATGAAGTTACTATAACACTACCTCATATTCCAGTAAGACTGCATGATGTGCACTTCTTTCTGTAAATTAAGCAAATATTAAAACAATTTCCATTCTTCTAGCATCAAATTCATCGCCCTTAAATACTGACTGAATTGGTACTTCCAGGAAGTGTGGCACTTGCATGTTAGATGAATATCTGTTCACATTCTGTACTGTGCAAAACTTTATAAATGCCTTTTCATTTCCTTTTGCTTCCAAGCTATGAGACTTTCTTGTAGTTTTTTTAAGTTGGTTTGAGCAATACTTTTCCAGGCTTCGTCAAGGTCTTTTTGATTGTTCTTTTGCTTGTTTTTTGTTTTTTTAAACACTGGCGGCATTTGACCATTTCCAGAGGCAATTTGTTTCTAGCATTGCTAGTATTTTATGCCAGTCAATTTATAACAGATTGCCTGGCATAAAATACCATAACATTTGCACCAACCAGGTGATTCCCAAATAGCTATTAGGTGTATACTTGGCATATCTCAGCATGGTTTGCAGGGAGTCCTTAGACAAATTGGTTGAAAAGTGAACATTTAGAAGATAAAAGAATAAGTGGTAGGCCTAATAAAACCCCAAAAAACTACAATCTCCATCAGATGAACAAAATCTGAAAGTCGTGTCCTTAAGAACAAGTTGTGGAATGACCTGGACCTCAATGTTATTGAAGCAGTGTGAGATTATTTATTACAAAACAAAAGGCAGCCAACATCCAAAAAGAGCTTTGAATGTCCTTCAGGAAGCATGGAGAACTATTCCTGGAGGCCACTTGAAGAAATTACAAGAAAGCTTACTTAAGAGAGTTCCGGCTGTGTTGAGGAATAACAGTGGTCATACCAAATACTGATTTTTTTCAAGCTTGTTTGATTGTACAAAGTCTGTTTTTACCTTAGATACTACATTTGTATTTATGTTTGCACATTTAGAAATCCAGTATCGAGGGTAAAAACAGACTTTGTACAATCAAAGCAATTCAAACTGAAGTCAGTGAGTCAGTCACCAGGAATAAGCACTGTATAATGATACCTTCTTCCACTGTTTTAATGTAATAGGGTCTGGCAAAATTAGCCAAGACTGTCCATATTTAGTTCTTACATTTTCTTTTTTTTCTTTCAGGGCTCTACCCCTCCCATGACAGTATTCAAAGGAAACAAGCGGCCATACCAGAAGGACTGTGTGCTCATCATTAACCACGACACTGGGGAGTTTGTACTGGAGAAACTGAGCAGCAGCATCCAGGTCAAGAAAACTAGGTGAGATATCAGTGATTACAAAATTAAGGTTATTGAAGTGGGAAGTTCAGGCTGGCTTCTATGTTACTCTTAAATAAATCCAGGTGAAATCACATCTGTTGTGTGTGTGTTTTACAGGGCAGAAGGCAGCAGTAAGATCCAGGCCCGGATTGAGCAGCAGTCGCTTCGGTCCAGCCAGCCCACCTCTCAGTTTAGGGCCCCCACTAAACCCGGGGCTGGGATCAAAACCTCTCCTTCCCCATCTAAGGACAACCCCTCCCCAGAGCCTCAGCTCGATGACATCAAGAGAGGTAAGGAAGGTGATACACGGCCACAGCTCATAATAGAAGAGATGGTTTTCCTGACATAACTATAGTTTATGATTAACATCACAAATAACATATTCTATATTAAACATATGCTACGTGACACACTTAAGTATCACATAGTTCTAAATAAATGTAAGGACATTACAGTTTGTTATAAACAATCTTTCAGTAAATGCTGAATGTCTTTGTGTTAACTGTAGCGATTCTCTGCTGTTCTTAACAGAGCTGCGAGCAGAGGTGGAGGTGATAGAGCAGATGAGCAGCAGCGGCAGCAGCAGCTCCTCCGACTCGGGCAGCGCCTCAGGGAGCGGCGATGACAGCAGCAGCAGCGACGGAGAGCTCGAGACCCCCCGACCCCTCAGCCAGACGTCACCCAGCCGCCACCCCATGGCCAACGGAGGACCTGACCGGCAGCAGGGGAACAACCAGCTCATGAACACACTCCGTGAGTACCTTTGGGTTATACTTAGACTTGGTCAGGTCAAGAGATGGAATTTATGCATGCGTGCATTCGTTTTCTGTGCTGCTGCTAATCTTGCTCATTCACTGCCAGTGACTCTGTGCTACCACACTGCATTTTTGGTATTATGGTCATTTATCTTCTGCTCCCCACAGGAAATGACCTTCAGCTCAGCGAGTCAGGCAGTGACAGCGATGACGACTGAGCTCTGCTGGTCAGTCTCTCTGTCCACACTCCTCCTCCTTTCTGCCTGGTTGACTTGTTTCTTTGCTGTGATAGCTGACCCCAGCTGTGTAGGTTGGTTTGACTACATATATTTTTTTTTAATTTGCTTTAGTATATCCTGAAAGCTGGCCAGCCTGGAACTTAAGAGTGTATTTTTTATTAGATGTATATCTTGTTTTGTATAGCGAAACTGGAGACAAAGAGAAAAATTCTTCAGAGGTTTGGAAGATTATATATTAGAGTGCACATACATATTTTCTGTACTTAGAGCAGCTAGTTTTATTTACTTGTATCATTAATATTTTTTTTTCTTTCAGTTTTGTCTATGGTTTGGCAAGCAAGATTTTCTGTAGCTGTGCGATCATCGCTGTAACATTTGTTTTTTGTTTTCATTTTGCTAAGAGTACAAAAATAGCAGAATTGCACAGATGATCTGCAAATGGCAACAAAGCAAAGAAAACAAATGCCGCAGGTATGATGCAGAATCGGTATCAGTTGCTGATGCTAACTTTAGTTTGCTGTTTGCTGGTCATTTTTTTAAGTAGCAACACTACACTCACTAGATGTCACCTTTTAGCAGGTTGAGATTGTGGTTTTCTTATCTACGCTCATGGAAAATTAACAGGGCAACATGCTGCATGTTGTTTTAAAGCTCCAATTAGTTTGTTTTATGTCCACAAGGGGGCAGAAAAGAGTCAACAACGAGCAGAAACTCAGATTGCTGGTATGAATAACATGTAAGTAAGCTATAGAATGTAAGTCTAGTGTTGTAGCTCTCTTTTGAATTCAACTGCCACCCCCCCAAAAATGTCTAACTAATTAGCTGCTCAACTTTCCTCACCAGCTGTGTTTTACTTCCACTGTCTACTCTGTGGTGCCAGACACACAAGCTTTTATTTTTCTAAGCTTATTTATATGAAACAGTAGTTACAAACGCACGTGTTTGCTTTTTTTTTCTGATGGTCAGAGGAAAATGCAGACTTTAATCCTCCAGTCGGTCTGTGAGGCCATAACTGACAAGTTAATCATATTTGAAAGGAGACGGGTGCATCGGGGTTGGCTTCTACAAAATTTCTGTCAAGATTAAAATACTGAAATAAAATCAAAGAACCAAATTAAACTCGCTTAAAGGGGGAAACTAATTTGCCCCAGAAGCATGCAATGTGTTAATCATCACTTTCAAGTTTGTTGTATCAGCTATGTATCATTTGCAAACAGAGAACATTTTATTTTTTTGCTCCAGTATTTTCATATAAAACCTATACCATTGTACCATTCCACGCCTTAAAGCATTCTAGCTTGGAAAAAATAAGTGAATGTGTCATTTTCTGACAATGCCAAAGAGTTGAAATGCCCCTCGTCATGTGCAAGATGTACAGGAATGTTCGCAGTGTAACGCCTTTTCCATGCATTGACTGCAGCTCTGAAATGTTTCCAGGCATCGCCTGCAGTGGTTGTATGTGACAATGAAAATCTCTCAGTCGGTCAAACCACAAGTTAAACAGACTTTAACTGGTCAGATCCCTGTTGCACTGTGGTTGTGTGTGCATAGAGCTGGTAATATTAATTTTCTATCATGCTTCCTGCACCCTCTGAACAGGTGCCACCCATTGTATAAACTAAACATAGTGTTTCCAGTAGTTAGAACACAAACAGATCTCTTACTGTGTCCTAAATGTGTGAAAATCACTTAACGACACCAGTGTGTAATTGTACTTTTCATTTTTTTCTGTAGTTTATGTGTAATTGTGATTTGTATCAGTGATTTTCTTCCAATTTCTGCTAGAGACTGTGAAAATCCTGTTTGTGATTATGAATGCAGTATAACAAGCCACAGTGTAGAGAAAACCGAGGAGTTTTATTACAGAATGATTAGACTTAAAGGTCACAGTATTTGTTGTTAAAGAAATTTTGACGAATGCAAAATTTTAGGATGAAACGCCAGATGATTGTCATTTTTGAAACTGGTAACAAGTTTTGGGTCATATTTAAAGGAAATTTCCATCAAAATAATTAAATAGTTACTCTAAGAAAAACATTAGATGTACTTTATTATAATTAGTGTGAAATTTGAGATTGTAAGGGTCTATTTTAATTAATACAGCTGTCTGCAGAGACCCGCTTTATGTGACCCAAAGCGTCTTTTTAGGTCTATTTTCTATTTTTTAAGCCTATTTTCTTCTGTTTAATGCTTGCAACCACAGTAATGTGTGTGGCCCATATACCATACTGTGGTTCAGGACCGAGGCTTTGACATGCTACTTTTTCAAAACCTTTTTTTTTGTGACTGCATTCATTTGCAGAGGAAGAAACAAGTGTATTCAAATAATCCAGCTGCCCCTTACGTACGCATCACTCTGTACAGACGGCTTAAAACTGAACTTACATTTACTTAAAAACCACATTTAATATAAGGAACAATTACAGGGATTTTCTGAATCCCATGTACACGCATACAGATGCTGTTAAGCCTCTTCTCAGGACTGTGTGGGAGTGGATGGACCATGCTCCATCGACTCCAGCCACCAGACTCACATTTTGCACCTTTTAATGTTGAACAAACTTTGAAACAGCTGACCTCATGTAATTCCCAGCATAGCACTATCCCATATACAACCTCAGCAGTACAAGGCTTGCAAACTGAAAACATCAACAAGGAGTAGAAAACGCGTGTAACTGGCATCCCAGTACTTGCATCATTTATTCAAAAAGATGTGTCAGCTACCAAAAGAGCGTAAATTTGCTCTAGTTTTCTGCTATCCTGTACTCCTGAAATGAGAGATTTTACGAGTGGATGTGCAGCATCAACATTTTGATGTTTGACATTGACTCATAGCTACGTTCATTTTATGGGCAGTGTTCTAAACTGAAGCTAGTCTTTTCTTTTTAACTCGCATAACAAAGCAGACATGATTGTGAGTTATAAGACTGTCATACTGTGCAGTACTAGAAAGAGTTACAGTAGCAGGTGAAATGTAAGTATTTCTTCTTGAACAGGGGGGAAAATTCACTATCTTCCATGTGTCAGTGTTTTGTTTCTCCACCTGGGCCAGACTGCAGTCATTTTTTTTTCTGCTTTTGAACATTGAAGTGAAAGAGGGTGGCGAATTGTCAAAGCGAGTGAAACCACTAAAACAGGTGGACACACGTCTAATCCCCTAAAACCTGTACAACCCTGGAGACTCAGTTTGCTGTTGAATGAACTCTAATGTATTTGGTGCTTTTAGTCCTTATGTTTTATTTTAGAGATGTGTTCATGTGAAATATGTTTGTATAAATTTGAAGTGTATTAAAGCTGTGCAAATGTATTTAAAATAGTTTTACATCTTTTTTTTTCTTTCAAGATTTGTGTCTTTTATCTTTAGTGGAGATAAATCTAAGGAGCCACAGATAAACATGAAATCAGCTTTACTTCATTTTTTTTAAACACTGGCTTCTTTTGGGAATTGAACTAGCAGCCGTAATCTCGATTTTTCTCCAGCACTACATAGAGGAAGGACGACAGTCAAAAATGAACTTCGAGAAAAGATTATATTGCTGGTCTTAAATAATTATCGTCAAGTGAAACATATGCTTACACGAACACCTTCAGTTTACTAACCACTACAACCTGTACACTGAGCATAATACAATACAGTACTTAATCCCTGCGATGGTGCAACAGCTGAGTCACATTTGGGCATTTCTCTTCAAACAGTAACAAAAAATACACAACAAATACATAAATAGCTTTTGTTTCCCTTTAAATCATTTATAACACAATTATACTCATGATTCTGGCTCTTGCTACAACATTTCATTTGACTGATATATAAATTAACATCAACAACAAATAATAGCAATAATATTAATAATTAGAACAATAATTATATAAAAGCTTGTCTGTCTTTCATATAAATCTGGCTAGCTTACAGTATGAAATGATGGAATAGAGATGATAAATTCAGTTTTGATATGATGAATCCGAGTTTCTCTTTGACTTTGAATCTCACTATTCCAAATGCAGATGCTCTGTTGTTCACTTTAATGTGTTTGCGAGAGAAACTCAGTCGCCATGTTGGCTCTAAGAGGAGTCCGCTGGCCCCAGACTGTTCCCTGAGGGTCCATGGCAACATGCCGTAGTTCCTGTAATTCGTGAGTTGTAAAATCTCCAAATGCCACTTAAGTTGTCGCTTGAGATTTTAGTTTTTATTCTCCAAAACTGTAATTGGTGGCGACTGGTGTAGTAACAGTGTGACAAAGAGGCGAGAGGAAGTCAGAAATCGAACGCTCCGTGATCAGATGATCATCTGAGTTTCCCTTCAGTCCGTCACCATTGTTTGGATCGCTGGCATCTAAGTCACGACAGCGTACTTCCTTGTGAAGTTATGGACCCTGAGTACCTTGTTGCATCTTATCTGTCAACTTGAGACCCTTTAGTGTCTTTCCAAACTCTGCTTTGCTAGTTTGGACCCTTAGTTTTAGTTCAGATGACCCTCCCTTCAGTCCCCTTCCCCCAGCTCATAGGGGTCACCGTCCAGGGCATGCTGTGGGTTTGATGCACCGTCCCTGGAACATCACCAGGTTGGCGGGGCAGTGGCAGCCGGCCACGCACGGCTTACGGCACGGTCCGATCTCATTCCAGTTGTCACAGGTTTTGGTGCAGCCTGGACCACAGGTGTCGTACACTGCATCGTGTTTACACTGGGTGGCTGATGAGAGGAAGAAAAGGTAGAAAGAGGGGAAAAAGTTAGGACTTGATTATGTCAATGTGAGCAGATTCTCAGCAGCTTCTCATTGGAATTAGCTGTTTCTCATGCACTCATACCAAACCCAATGCATACTGTTCATTTTATCAAGGTTGAACGATAATATCATGCAAAAGAGGGAATTTAAGCATACATAAGGTAAATCCTTTTCTACTTCTCTAAAAGGGAGTACTATGAACTGGAATGGCAGCTGCAGTAAGTGTCAGGTTTGCTCAGAAGTGAGCAGAATTTTCTTTAAACAAAAAACAAAAAGCCAAATCTGGTGTCATTAAGACTGGCTCTAATAGTCAAGAGCACCTCTCAGAAGGCTCTGCGATTTATGAGTGTTGCCACTCACCCATACAAGGAGCTTCGGGTTTCCAAAGGACGGGCACACCTTCCCTCTCACAGGCTCTGCTGTAGGCGATGAAGGTCTCGCAGTAACAGTTTTTATGGACTGGACACTCACACACATGTCCGTCACACACGACCTAAAGAGGGCAGAATTTGGTTTTGTTTAAGATTAAGTTCCCGTAATGAAAAAAGATTTTACCGAAAGCCTCATACAAGTATGGTTATGGTAGGACAGAGAAATGGATACGTGTGACAAGCTACAGTGTTTGGCACTTTAACAATTAAGTTGTCACTTGAGATTTCTCCTCACCTGTAAAAAGACCCGAAGTCC